GACTTATGCCCTAGAGCAGACTGTAGGCTCTTCGGACTTGTCTTCCAACAACCTGCACTTGATCAGAGCAACCTAATTTAGACACAGCCGAGAGACATGCATTCCATCAGCAGCACTGCTTCTGTAGATCATAACAATTAAGACTTTAACTTGCTTAAAATATATGATGAACAAGGGAACGGGATACTCTTGAATAACAACTCTGAAGTCAATCTTTGCTTCCTGGATCAAGCTATTCATCTGATTTCAGAAGGAACACATTCATTTCACTCATTGGGAATTGCGATGACAAAGCAAATACAGCACTTTAAAGAACACCAGCTGTCTGTTTATTTGCGTTTGTTCAAAAATAGAACTATAAGTTTGTGCAATAGAATCCATGTCCTGCAGATCAACCATTTGTTCTCCAGTCTTTTCCTGGGTTTTTTTAAGGCTTCCTGGACAAGAGTTTCCTTAGACACAGTTCCTCCATCTGTTCATTCAGACTTCCGTTTTCCGAGATCAAGTAATCCAGATGAAATGGAAAGACAAACTGGGTGTATGTAAATATTTGTCTACCACTTTCAGTCCTTTTGTGGTGGCTTGAAATCAGCATTCCAGAGTTATCTGTGGATAAATATCTAGATGGGTAGAATTGTTATTTTTCTCCAATTGCTGTAGGTGATGATACAATGCCATGACCAGCTTTCCCTTCCCAAAAAAGAAGGTTAAACAAAAGCAGGAAGTGTAAGATCATACACACGCATACACACCTTGCACATGCATAAGTGCTGACTTGTTTGGAGCTAATAATTGACTGCTGAACACTTTGGAATCTGTCATATTTATTTCAGTGCTTGTTACTTGTTCTTATTAGTCATTTTGGTTTTATGGAAGAAAAGTAGGTATGTGTGTTTTGTTTTGTGCATAAATGTATATGCATGTGTGTATGTATCTCTGTCTGTCTTAGAACAGTTTCCTGATTTTTTATTGCTGCACAAAAAACTGATGCCACACATTGTGGTAAACACATAAAATTTGCATGTTATACATCCAGTTTAGATCAGGGTTCTCAGATATGTGTATACAGATGTTTGTAGATGTCGGTCCACTCATGGATGATGTCCACACGTTCCTTATTTCTTATGGTGCTGCCATGGTCATAATTTGCAGAGCTGCTTATAGCTGATAGCTTTCAGTGTTCTCACTCTCCATAGATAGAACTCAAACCATGCACTCCAGTCTCTCACATGCCACCTGGTTCTGTTGACTTTTAGCCGTGCCTTATTCCCCTCTGTCCATGGTGCTCAAACACCTCATCAAGTAATTGTCCAGCGGAAATGACTTACAAATACTGCAGTCTTTGGATTAAAGCTAATAAATCAAATGTCTTTAAACAAGTCTTTTGCTAGCTTTTCAGATCCTTGCCTATCTTCCGCTTTTTATGATTTCATGTTATAGTCTTATGCTTGAATGTTGAAGAACGAAAACATTGGGTAACTGTGAGTACTTTGGTAGTACAGTTCTTCTGTAAATAAAACCTCAGGGCTTGGGCATGTAGCAAAGCAGCTGTTTTAAAAGCAAAAACTGCTGGATGGTTCTTTTTATTTGGAGCTGTTTGCCTCAGCTGCTGAATACATATAAAATTCCAAACTTCATGCTGTTGAATGGAGGAAAAAATTGTGATGGCATGGTAAACATTGTAGGTTAGGAATAGGAAGCACCAACAGATTAATGGTTCTCACTTGAAACAGCCTAAGTAATGGTTGTTGTGGGTTTTTTGGGCTCTTTGGCTGTGTTCTGAAGGTTGTTCTTCCTAATGTTTCGCCAGTCTCTGTGGCCGGCATCTTCAGAGGACAGGGGTAGCACTCTGTGCTCTGGTGCAGTTTGTTTGGGAGTTGAGTATTTATGGCTGTGAGATCACCGGTGATCACCGGTCCTTGTGGTTGGGTAGAGTTTGTTAGCCTTTTGCACACTGTATTTTTCAGTGCCGGGAGCCAAGCTTTGTTGAGTTTTTAACTTTCTTCTTTTTTGTTGAAGTTCTGTTGATGTTTGTGGATTTCAATGGCTTCCCTGTGCAGTCTAACATAATGATTGCTGGTGTTGTCCAGTATTTCAGTATTTTGAAATAGAATTTCATGTCCAGCTTGTTTTAGGGCATGTTCAGCTACTGCCGATTTTTCTGGTTGCTTTAGTCTGCAGTGTCTCTCATGTTCTTTGATTCTGGTGTGGATGCTTCCTTTTGAGGTTCCAATATATACCTGGCCACAACTGCAAGGTATCCGGTATACTCCTGCAGTGGTGAGGGGGGTCCCTGTCCTTTGCTGACCGTAACATTTGTTGTATTTTTGTGGTGGGCTTGAATACTGTTTGTAGGTTGTGTTTTTTCAAAAGTTTCCCCATGTGGTCTGTGACCCCTTTGATGTATGGCAGAAATACTTTATTTGTGGGTGGCTGTTTTTCTTCAGTTTGGCATTGTTTTCTTGGTTTGATGGCTTCTGTAATTTTTGGATTATCTGTTTGCCTATAGGGCCTAATTCAGATGGTTGAGTTCAGTGCTGAGAAACTGAGCTTCACAGTTCTGATTTGCACGGTCGACCAGTGTTTTGATTATGCCTCTTTTTTGCTGTGGGTGGTGGTTGGGGTTTTTGTGTATGTATCAGTCTGTGTGGGTGGGTATTCTGTAGACCTTGTGTCCCAATAGGAGGTCAGTTTTGCGTAGGATCATGACATCTAAGAATGGGAGTTGGCCCTCTATTTCTTTTTCCATGGTGAATTGTATATTTGGGGTGGAGGCTGTTGAGATGGTTTAGAAATTCTTCCAATTTTTCTTCACCATGGTTCCAAATTGTGAAGGTGTCATCCACATATCAGAACCAGACTGTGGGTGCGAGGGGTGCCGAAGCCAGGGACAGTTTTTCGAAATGCTCCATGTAGAAGTTTGCTATAACCAGGGTGAGGGGGCTGCTCATGGCCACTCCATCTGTCTGTTCATAGAATTCATTATCCCACTGAAAATAGCAGGCTGTTAGGCAGTGTTGGAAAAGGGCCTTGATATCTTCTGGAAAGATCTGCTGGATGAGTGTCAGGGTGTCCTTTATCAGTATCTTAGTGAACAGGGATACTATGTCAAAGCTGATCAATCTGTCCCCAGGGTTGATTTTTAGGGTGCTGATCTTGCTTATGAAATGTCCTGAGTCTTTGATGGAGGAAGAGGTTTGTCCAATATGGGTCTGTAGGAGGGTCGCTAGGTATTTGGCTAATTCATATGTTGGGGAGCCAATGGCACTTACAATGGGCCTGAGTGGGATTGAGTCCTTGTGGATTTTGGGGAGTCCGTATAATCTTGGTGGGAGAGTTTCTGTCTTGCAGATTCTTTGGGGTATAGGTAGGAACTCCTGATCAGCATGTTTGTTTGTTTTGTGATTTTGTTGGTTGGGTCCCGTTTCAGTTTTCTGTAGGTGGTGGGGTCTAGACGTTCCCTGATTTTGTCCTTGTAATCTTCTGTTTCCGTAATTACTGTGGTGTTGCCTTTGTCTGCTGGCAGGATGATGATGTCCAGGTCTGAGTTCAGGGACTTGATGGCATTTCTCTCCTTTCTTGTTATGTTGCTTTTGGGGGGTTTTGCTTTTCATAGGATCCTAGTCACTTCACCTCTTATTTGTTCTGCCAAAGAGCCCGAAAAACCCACAACAACCATTAGATCCCGGCCTTGAAAGCCTTTGCGAAGCCTAAGTAGTGTTTTAGATTGAAAGTAAGTATTATCCTCTGTGAGTTGGTACACTATGGATCAATCAACCTGTAGAGACACAACTCCAAGATTTAATTATTGACTAGAAATGGGAATTTCTTCATCTTGTTGATGTTATTTCTACACTCTGAATTACAAATGTGGCCAGATAGTCCAGGCTGCCAACAAAACTGTCAGTAATGTAAATGGGAGCTGTAAAAAAAGTAAGTAAGAGAAAGAAGATGAAAAGGAAGAAGTTGGGGAAATTTAAATGACTATAATGGCTTGCATTCCAAGAAGGTTAAAATGTATAGAACAGTGTGGACTTTTTGAAAGGGAACTAAGGGCCTTTGCAGTGTGCTCTTAGATGATAAATATGTAATTTGCTGCAGTTCATGAAGTCAAGAAAAGACCACAATATATAAAATAGTAACATGGATAAGTTACTATTTTAGGCTACAGCTCCTGACATCCACAAGCCAGCATGGTCAACTCGTGCTCTGCTCCTTTCCAAGAGAATGGAGAAAGTGACATGGGCAATTATTTCTGCTAGTAACTGAAGTAAATTTCCAACTCACATACTTGGTAGTTGTACTCTCCTTTCTTTTCTTTTCTATGCGGTAACCCCTCCTCCTCTTTTCTTTGTCTTGCAATGTTGCACTAAAATGTGTATCACTTTTATCATTGCCAGTTTGCCAGCCATGAACTTTTGCCACTCTTGAGGGATGCTTCTTATGAGCTGGAGGAAATGGACACAAACACTCTCATATTATCTTGGGAAAGGATGGGGGAACACTGCTGGCAGAGAAGGGCACCATAGATCCCACCAAGGATTGTCCAATGCTAAAAACCACCCCAACAGTTGATATTATTAGTATGGTTATTTATAGTTGCATTAACCCAGTATTTTCATGCTGTCTCTTGATCTTATATTAATTTTTGTTCCCAAAAACAGACACATTAGGGCTTATTTTCAGGGATGTTTAATTTTTTTCATGTACAACAATCTATGTTTATTCAGATACAGTCAAGTCATCTTCTTCTGGTTGCTGCACAATGGTGGAGGGTGGGGGTTCACTTAACTGGGGCTTATTTTGGGGGTAGGGCTTATATTAGAAGCACCCTGAAAATCATACTAGGGCTTATTTTCAGGTTAGGTCTTATTTTTTGGGAAACAGGGTATATAAACATAAAAGTAATTCCATTTCATCTTCCGGATGCTGCTTCATTAACTACAGTCTGCAGTGAATGGTTTTGACACCTATATTGTGTTTTCTTTCTTCTTCCATAGGCTTATCTCAGAGCAATAGATATCAAGATCCTACAACAGCTAGTAGCTGTGAATGAGGGCATAGAAGCGGTGAAGTGGCTGCTAGAGGAGAAAGGGATGCTGACCAGCCGCTGCAGCAGTCTCACCAGCAGCCAGTACAGTCTGGTAGAGAGTCAAGAGACATCCCGGCGAGGCAGCTGGAACAGCCTTCAAGACCCTAATGACAAGTTGGATAGTATCTCTATTGGTAGCTATTTGGATACACTGGCTGATGATATGGATGAGTATGGACAAGGTGCTCCCATAGAACCCATGATGTCATCAACCCCAGGCAGGCCGCTGGCCAGAGCTGAGATGGAAAGATCAAAGCCTGACCGAGAGAGAACCCATCCTGCTAAGAATGATAAAGAACAGGACAAAGGCAAAACATGTCTTGAGAGGTTCCCTGGTTTGGTTGAAAGCCAAAGCTCCAGTGAGCAAAACAGAGCTGCCAGGCAGTCACCACCAATGACCAATGGACTTCTGGGTAGGGGGGTCCCAGGACTGGAGCAGAGCCATGAGGCTAAATTTACCTCTGCAGTTTCTGAACGATCAAGCACAGGCAGTCCAGCAGCAAAGCCTTCTAGGGATAGTAACTTAGAGAACTGCCTTGTGAAAAGCAGGAGGCACCTGGAGTATGACGCTCACTGGCAATGGGTTCAGTCTCAAGATGATGTGACATTCTTGTAGCATCCAAGACCTGCTGTCGAGATCAACGATTATGGGCTCAGGTCATTTAAGTGTTGGGCCACAGGCCTTACCAAAATGGTTGCTTTTGCTGGGGTGTTCTTTGGTGAACTGGACATACATATATGCCACACAGATTGCATTGTTTCTGCTTGTAATTAACCCTGAGAACCCATCTTGCATCAAAGGAAACTACTGTACTCCTGTGAGGCAACCTTTGGTCTGTCGTGGCTGTTCCTTCAGTCTTGTGCAATAAGAGAATTATTTCCAGTTTCTGTGGCAGCTGATAATATATTGCACATCCCTTCTTCTAAGGCATAGACAGAATGTTCACCCTTTTTTTTCAAAGTGTCAACTGCTACTGAGAACATTTTTGTTATGTTATGTGCCATTAAGTCAGTTCCAATTTACAGCAACCCTCCTAGGTTTTCCAAGGTTAGTGAGATGTTTCAGAAGAGGTTTTACCATTGCCAAAATCAGTGAATTCCCATGGCTGAATGGGGATATGAACCAGGTCTCTTAGTCCGCTACTTGATCCACTCCACTGGCTTCCCTGTGAACATTACTGTGCAGTATATATATATATGTCCTCAGTAGCAGCTGAGACATTACTGTAACCGTTGTTTTCGCTGCAGCTGTTTGTTTCCCTATTTCTCTTTATATCACCTGAGTTATTCATGGCTTTGGGATGGGACAAGGGTAATTTCTTTGAAGCCATTTCCCTTTGTGCACTTTCATTGTTACCCACTCTCTTTGCTTAATATTTAATTTATGTCCTATGCTTATAGAATAAGGGAGAATTAACTCTATAATGAGCTCTACAAACTTATTCACCACACTCCCCGTATCAAGCATTCCCCACCAGCATTGGTCAACCCTAGTCTTATATGCATGGACCTGAAATGTGTGCATTCATGCTTGTGAACATGGGGATTGGGGAGGGGTGCAAAGGGATTTTTGTGTACATAAATGCATTTAGAGGGCAGCTATGGGGTACTGCAGTTCTGAGGTATTCCAGCTGGTACAGACATGCATCGTGTCTGTGGGCATGTGCTCCCTTCTGCTCCCAGCTTCACAAGAGAATCAGAGCTTGCCTGCTTTGTGGTATAGGGGTGGGAGTGGGGGCGAAATAAAAATGCCTTAGAAAGGAAGAGATGAACTGCAGATAAGTTAGGAGGTGGGGAATTATTGTTGACCTCGTACTGCACTGCATGTCACAAGTGCTTTGATTTACTCCAAAAGCAAGATGTGGTAAAGATTAGATTCTGCCCCTCAGTGGTGACCGCAATTTTTGGCAGTTGAAGAATTGAACTAACATTTATGAAACCCTGTGGAGAACATCCAAGGTATGTTCTAAGTTAAGGGAGCCAACATATCTTTGGGGTGTCTGTGCCATTAAAAGATTGATTTTTTAAAAAACAGGATAAAATGGGGGCTGTCACAAAGGCTGAATGTGTGCTGAGCTGCAATAAACTTGGGAGGATTCTATGGGGATGAAGTCACCATGTGCCCCTCCCCATGAGCGAATGAGCCATTCCACAATGCGTTCCTCCTCCTCCTTTGAGACACACACACACACACACACACAGAGAGAGAGAGAGAGAGAGAGATTTTAATTGTTTGCGTTCTAATAATTCCCTGTAGAGTTTATGTATTCTGATTCCGTGTCCTATTTCAAGTGACTGAGAGCCAGAATAAATATGTGGTTAACTATGTGATTATGATTAAAGTGTTTATTTTTAGCAGTCATTGAGCTGGGGGAATTTGGATTTGGAAGAGAGGGAGTTAACTCTTACCTTCCTTGATATAATCCTGTTGATTCCTCCCCCCATTCCCTACTGGGATGGATATGTGTGTGTGTGTGTGTCTGTGTTTGGTGGCACAGGAGAAGGAAAGATAGGCTTCTCCCTACAAGCTTGGTCCTGCCCTCTAACCAATAGCATAGCCACTATTTAAAAACCTGTAAAACTATTAATTGCTGTTACTACCCCCCCTCCACATATGTTTCTTTCCTGCCCTCTTGTGGTTCACCATGATTTGTGAAATAAACCATGTCATCCAGAATACATGAGGATTCTAAGTTCATAAGTGAGAGCCACAGTGGTGGCTGCCTTCTGAAAGCTATCCCACTCTGTTGTTAGTGTCGTATCGCCTTTTCTTTGTACATGCCACTATCTTGCCATTTCGCTTTCAGAGAACAAACAATGGTTTCTAGCACAGGTATGACAATCGTGAGTAGACTCACTCCATAAATAGTATTAGCTGATAATCTACATCTGTTCAAATTTTGACCAATAGTCATGTTTCAAATATATATTAAAATTCTTTATGCTCCTTTTTCTGAATTTGAACAACTGGTTGATTTGAATCCAGGGATTGTTTGATTTTAATTATATTTCATAGGATATTATATTAACTTAACAAGGGCAGCAGCAATAAAAGCAACACCTAATACTCAGATTCAGGTCCTTTGCAATGTTGATTGGATTCACCCTTTTGATAATGGATGTGTACCTCTTGTTCCTTATTTTATCTTTATTAGAGCATAAGGAGCCTTGTGGCATAGTGGTTAAACTGCTGTACTACAGCCAAAGCTCTGTTCACGATCCAGGGTTCAGTCCCAGGTAGTCAGCTTGAGGTTTACTCAGCTTTCCATCCTTCCGAGGTCAGTAAATTGAGTACCCAGCTTGTGGTGGGAGAGAGCAATGTGTATCTTGCATAAATAAGCTGTAAATTATGTAGGACAAAACCACTGTATGCTAGGGAAAGGAAGTCATAATACCTCCAAATAAAAGTTACGCAAAAGCTTTTCCTCCATCTTTTCCTCCAATAGATGGTGAAGCCCTTTTTACTGGTGACCTGGAAAAATGATATGTGACTTCATCCAGAGGAGTTTTCATGTAGCCTCAGTGAACATCAGTGTGGCAGATACTTTGAATATGGAAATGTGCACAACATATGCTTCCAAAGCAGATTGATAGATATACATATGTTTAAAATTCCTTTCTCATTTGCTGGAAAACTTTGACTTTGTAACTACAAACAGAATCACAGGATTGGTTGGGCTGAATATTATCTGATCCACATTTCTGCCTACACATTGGACAATCTGCCTAGCTATCCATGTGAGTTCACGTGCCCTATCCAGATCATAGAAGGCTTCAAAGACAGCAGGTGAAATTAAGCAAAGCAATCCAGCTTCTCTAAACCAATGTTTCTCAAAGTGTGTGTTGGGACCTTGAAGTAAGTTACAGGAGGTTCTTTATACTACACCATGAGGGCTGTTTTTCTTCCATAGAGCTAAGAGCACATCATCAGTGTGTGTTGACAGGGTCGTGTCTTACTCTCTTTCTCCTTGTTTTATACTTACATTGTCTTAAAATTCACATGGCTTAAATATACCTAAATTAACATTAAAAATGACAAACGCAATATAAACTTGCTAAGTATTTAACTATCCATGAGGTAGTGTTGTCAAACAGGCAGGTTTTCAGTCAGCATCCAGAATACAGTGGGGTCTTGACTTGAGAACTTAATCCGTATTGGAAGGCGGTTCTCAAGTCAAAAAGTCTGTAGGTCAAGTCTCCATTGACCTACAGTGCATTGAAAACCAATTAATCCCGTATCAGGCCGTTTTTGTTCCATTTTGGTTTTTTTCTGGTCTGTAAGTCAAATCTCAGTCTGCAAGTCAAACCTAAATTTTGTGGCCAGAGAAGTCTGTAACTCAAAAAGTCTGTAAGTCAAGCCGTCTGTAAGTCAAGGGTCCACTGTAGTGCAAAAAAAATGTAGGGATCATGCTGTCTATATCCATTTTTATTTTTCATTCATAATAACCAGCACTGAACAGAGAAATGTAGAAATTGTGGACAAATCCTAAAAAGCTTGGAAATACGGAACGTGAGAATAATAGCTGCTTCAACCAGTGCCCTGTTAGGGTTAAACTATACAGTACAGATAATCTGTCACAAGACTAGGGCATTGCTTGAGGGCTGAGAATGGCTAATTGTCCCTACAGAAGCTTTTCATACCTCCTATAGTCTGCAAATTGGCTTGCTTTTTTGAGATTGGTCATTGTGGGGTAAGCACAGGTTGATTGCTCAGTCATGAATGTGTGCCTGAATCACATCTCTGAGACACAGTTTTTATCTTCTAATCATTGTGATCTATAACCCATAGTTTGGCCCTTGCTGGTTGAAGCAATATTGGCAGGATCTGCACTATTTTCAGCAATACCGTCCTCAATCCACCAGAGTTAGGGTGGATTGAGAGAAGGCACTGGGAAAGCAATGCAGAAAGTTTGTGGTTTAAAGAACCCCATGCTAAGGGCCACACGAGAGGAAAGTTGGGTTCAAAATGTGGAATTAGTATTTTGAGGGTTCTGGGTAAGCTTACACTTCAAACGTTTGAGGAGACCAGCCAAGTTGTCCATAAGAAAGGACTCCAAGAATGGCTTATTGCTGGGTGCAGAATACAAGGCTAAGGTGAACTGCTTTGAATTAGAATGTGCTCTTCATCTGACAACCACAACCTGAAATGGTTACTTATTTGGACTATGCTTCTCATAGTTTCCCAGGGTCGTTGAGCTGGGGAATTATGGAAAGTATAGTCTAAGAAAGTAAAATGTCCCAACTCTGGCATTCAAACATATTTGTGGCTTGGAGAGCCTAAAGCTGTCAACCCTTTTATGATTATTCCCATTCTCGTGACAAAATTAATTACAGGATATGCTATATTTGGAGAATTCTGATACTGTTTGCACTTCGCAGAGAGCATGGGGGATTGTAACTGACGAAGCTTTCTCTTATATAGCCTGTAAAGATACATCTGTCTTCTTTGACTGTTATTATAGAACTGGCCTCTTGAGACTGATTCTGCTAAGACCATGAGTACAATTACCCATAAAAATGTAATATGTTCCAAGGGATAATGAAAATCATGTTATCAAATAAAAAAATTCCCAGCCTTGACTTCTGTGATGTCTCTGTACTTCCTTATATACACAGTCATTTGCAGATGAAGCCTGAAATACTAAAGCTAGTGAATTATCTGGGATTTCTTTTTCCCTTTGAAGCCAAAGATAGCAATTCCATATAATATAAAGTAATGCTACACAGGATTTTCATGAGGCTTGATGTTCACTGCAAACGTTGCTGGTGTAAAATATTTGTTAAGAAAACTCAGACTTCTACACTTCAGTGCATTTCTTGTACCAATTCACAACCACTGGTCTCCGATCTGCTGCTACGTTTACATATGTGTATCTGGGATGAAGATACAGATCCATGTTCTCTAGGCAATTGGACTTGCTTGCATTGCATTATTTACACAGAGATGCACACTTGGATTTGGATCTGAATGCACTTCAAACAACAAAATAGTGTTTGTATCCTAACAGACAGCCACTTAGTTACCATAACAAATAGCAATTCAAAACACCTAAACACACATGTTGCAATGCAAAACAAAACAAAACAAAAAACCCCACTGAAATCCTGTTCTGTAATTTATTCCACTTAAGACTGATGAAATCATCAGTCAGGGCAATTTTTTGGTAATAAAATTATTCTTGGTCTCCTGCCAGGGATCTCAAGACTTCCCTTTCCTCATTGAGAGCTATGCGATGGAAGGAAGCCTTTATTACAGAAAATCACTGCCCAAAAGCTCCCCGCTCCTGTTTTCACCCTTTGCATCACAGTGTGTGAGCTGCATTTCTGTGAAGGGTCGTTATGAAGCTGGAAGAACACTGAAGTGATCTGCCCAGGCTGGGAGCAATTCCATCCTTGAGATTGGCCCTTGTATAATATGGTGTGGTCATGCCATCTTTCCCCCCCAACTGCATAATGGCTCCTCTATAGCTATACAACTACTTGCTTTTGAACTCCTCCTGTGATCTAAGTAGTGACAGAGGTTCGTCGTTGTTTAGTCGTCGAACAGAGGTTACTACTTAGTAACTACTTAGTAGTGACAGAGGTTACTACTTAGTAGTGACAGAGGTTACTACTTAGTAACTGGAAAATTTGGAAAAACTGCCATAAAGGCACTCAGAGCCTGCAAGGCAAAACAGAGTATAACTTCCTCATAAATAAAACTGAGATTCTGCCACCACCTGTGTCCTGTTCGTACTACCACTGAACTGTTTGTTTTGGTTTTCCCACTTGAACAGTGAGCTGGCCAAACGGGCAACGGGCAGGTCCATTGTGATGTTGCTGAAGCTGAAAGCGAGGTCCAGCTACAATGACACCACCAGTGACTGAAGAACTGCCACTATCCTCACTCATAATTTGCTCACCAAGACCTGGATCCAACTGTGCCAGTCTGCGGAGTGACAAGAGGGCTGAAAACCTCCCTAGAGTGGATTTATTAACACTGGGGTTTGCTGTGGAAGTGGGATGAATGAGGATTAGCTCCTTTCTGGTTCCACTGTCATGGTTTCATCCATTTCGAGATTACTAGTCCAGTGGTTTTAGTTCTGACAAAATCTCTCTGCTATCACCTGGAATTATAGTTTGGAATTATTTTCTTTAACTTCTCTTAAGGTAAAAGCCTCTTTAGGAGGCTGGAGAGCCTCATCTCTGCCCTATACTTTCAAAACAGGGCCAGAATTATTCCTGGAAATGATGCATAAAAGATAACTCAAGTTTGAAAAGGAATTATAATTTTTACAAGATTCATTAGCTCTAAAGCAGGGTTTGTGGTATATCCAGGCATTATACATATGCTAGACTGTTGACTAATCGACCTTTCAAATTGATAACCTGCCTTTTGAATTTCAGCAGCTACATAAGGAAGAATCACACAGTGCTTGGAAATGTTACTCTTTTTTGGAGGGATAAGAACTTCCGGAGTCCCCTAGGAATTCTAGGAGTTGTTATATTAAAAAACAAAAACAAAAACAACACTGCCACGCTCAGGGACTCCAGCACGAAGCAAGAAACATGCTGGCCAGTATCACTACATTGGCCACATGCCGACAGGCAGGGAGAGATTTTCTAGCTGCATCTGTGAGTATTGGTGGGATGGTCCTGAATCAAATGTTCATTATTCCTTCCCTGAGTAGGGATCAGAGACCAAAAATCTGGTGCTGCTTAATGTGTGTTGTAGCTCTTGGTCCGGTTTTCATTTGGGTTTATTGCTGCTCTTGCTCCTTATCTTGTAGGATTCACTGTAGAAGGTCCCCAGGGAGCTTGTTTGGACTTGATATCATATTTCTTGTAATATCCATCAACTGGATTTATTGTGCCTATGGCTAACTTATGACACCCTAGCAGTCAGAGTACTATATTGAGGGTGGCTACAAAGTATTTTACAGAATTCTTGGCTTTAAGGTGTCTTCTGTGCAAAAGCTCCCTCTCTTTGAAGACTGCTTAATCCAATTCTGGTTAAAAAGATAAAGAACTCTAAGAAGGGCAAGCAGGGGCCTTGAAGTCATCACACTTAGCACCAAGAAGGGAGGCTGATCAAGCACACAGATCCCCGAGTCTTTCTGTCACTACATCTAAATTTGCATACTGTATATACAAATAAGCATGTGTAGGCAGTGCCAACAGGCAGACACTGAACGGGGTAAACTGATAATGCATTCCTGAACATCAACATGTTCCTCGCATGT